TCTCTTTAGCTTGGACTCAGCCGTTGTCATCTGTCAGCCGTGGATCCCCTGGCCTATTTGATGCTCTCCTGCTCTCTATCTTTACAACTGTTGTCTCTAACAAATTCCTTTCCTCCCTAGCCCCAAAGCCCATTCACAAGCAAAGGAGAAACTTGTCTGGTATGAACTTTCCAACAGCAACAGACTTCTTGCCTCGGCCACCATACTTTCCCAAAGGACCACAATTTATAGCCACTCATATGGACATGGAGTCTGTGTCTCAAGATTCTTTGTATTCCTACATCAGCTTAGCCTGATAGCAATGTGGCTCAAAGAAAGCAACTGGTTATTGCTTGTGCTTAGTTCTGTGTTGGTATAGCTCATGGTTTCTCTTACTCTCCCCCTCCCCGCCTTTATTCTTCATATTTCATACCCAGGGTTGCCTCACACTGAACACAGCCACTGTGAACGCTGGAGATGGAAGACCGTCAATATCCCTTCACTTCCAAACAGATGCACAAAACTTCCAGTAAGCAAGTGAACCGAGTCTTGGAGAAGGGAGGAGGGAAAGCCAGCTTCTCAGAGAAGCAGCTTTTGCATGTCGAAATCTGCCTGCTTTGGGAAGGAAGCCAAAGTTGGGGGTCCAAGACAATTCCAACTGTATTGCATTCCATTTATTATTTATATAGTGCTTATTGCTGTAGTTGCGGGGTGCTTTCCAGTGAAATACAACGTACCGTTGGGAGCAAAGGAGGAAATGAGGAACGGGGAACGGGGGAGGTGCTGTGGCATCTGTTATCATGTGAGGTGCTGGAGCCTTGGCTGAGCCAGGAGGCGCCGCCCCTGTCTGACACAGGTGTGAATAATACATTGTTCGGTATCAGCAGCAGAAACCTTGGAAGCTGGAAGCCAAGCTTTGTACACAAGAGTATTTCTCCTCTAATCAAAGTTCTCACAGTCCTGCAGAGTGGGGGAAGGGAGAAAGGGGTCCATAGGTCTCGTGTATCCACCCTGAAATTCAAAACCTGTGTGGAACATAAAGGTTACCCAAACCCACCGTATCTCCTCACCCTTCCAGTTTTGGGGTTTGTGTGTGTGTGTGTTTTCGTTTAGCTTTGGTTCCTGTGGTAACAGAGAGAGCAAGAACTACAATTTCTGGAATTCAAGCTTCGTTCATCTGGATAACATTTGGAAATCCTCAAAAGGGGGGGAGGAAGGGAGAACCAGGTGATGACATCAGAATACTTCTGGAGCCCCATCAGTGTGTGCGGTAGAGGTTCAATACACACTTTTCTCCAGCCAGTTCTTCACGTAGCCCCTAAGAAACGCTCCCTCCTTAAGGATGTCCCAGAAGCTGAGGAGCTGAAAATACAGCAGGCACTTGATGACATCAAAGACTATCCCTGAGTAAACGTTCCTTTTCTTGGGTAAGCAGGGACTTCCGTGAGCCACAAAAAGCCATGGAAATTTCTTTGCAGAAATCTTGTACCGATGAATAAGTTAAATACAGCTGCTTTAGCCTGCAGTGTTCAATATTGTCTTCAATGATTAAAAAGGCTGACTCCAGTGGGAGCAGAGCCCACGCTGCAGAGATTATTATGTTTTGAACCATTTTTCTGTAGGAGGAACAGGGGGTGGGGGTGGGGAGGAAAGGAACAAGGAAGATGCTAGCTTCTGCAATGAGCTGCCAGGCTCAGGATGACCACCACCCTTTGTAGCTTTTGCTTCTTTTGTTTAGACAGGATCTCCCTCTGTAATCCAGGATGGCCTCAGGCTTGTGGTCATCTTACTGCCTCAACCTCCCAAGTGCAGAAATCACAGGTGTGATTTGGCTCAAGAATCACGATTTAAAAACTCAAGCGTCCAGTGGATTTCCATGATGTCTGTTCATGTCCATCTGTAACTACCTACCCTTTGGTAAAGAATGTTAAACACCAGGTAAGTGTGGCCGGTCAGGCCTGTAGTCCCAGCTGCTCAGAAGGCTGAGGCAGGAAGTTCACAGGTTCCAGGTCAACCTGGATTACACAAGGAGACCTAGTCTCTAAATAAGTAGGTAGACAACATTAAAAGGAATGTTAAGTACAGCATGTCTCTTACTGGTGTTGGCAAGGAACCAGCTAAAGCATGTGCCTATGCTGGGGGTGGGGGTGGGGGTGGATATGGAATTGAGGCAAATGCTAGGGCAAAGGTGACCCAGGAAAGGCCTGAAGCAGAACGTTTTATGTTTATAGCCACAGTGGGCTTGCAGAACATGTGGACATGACCCCGGAAGAGAAGCACCAGGATTCAGGTTGTGTTTGCTGCACCCAAGTAAAACATGACAAGATAAGAGCGGAAGAAAGGTTATGATGGCATGAATTCTAAGCAAGGGTTGAGTTGAAAAGATAGGTTGCTTATGTCAGTGGGGTTTGGGGGAATCCCTTCATGGCTGCCAGATGACGCTGGGAGGAAATGGAGCCCTTTCCGGGGGTTCCTGGTCTTGTTAATAAGAGAAGTTGAGAACAGACAGAAGCGGAAGCTCAAATTCATTAGGGTTTAGAAGACACGTTCCTCACGGCAGGCAACGTGAATTCCAGCAGCTGCTGGAAGAAGAGAATGAGGAACGAGAAGATGTGGAAGGCGGACACATGGCCAGTGTGCAGCCATTGGATGCCAGGGAAGCAGTGTAGAAAGAGTAAGGAGGGTCAAAGGAAAAAAATCTACTTAGGTTCTGACCAGCATCTGAAAGTAAGACACAGGGGAAAGAAAAAGAAGGAATCGTTACCCCTTCCAGAAAGGTGATCAGACCCAATCAAAGGTCTCTCATGGCTGCTCAGCTCTAGGGGGTTGCAGAGGCGTGGGGGAGGTGAGGATTCTGGGAAGGGAACCTGTAGTACCTCATTAAGGAACCAATTTTCCCACCTATCTCTCTAGTGTGGCAGAAGGTGAGCCCACCTTCCTAGGGTGGTCCTTAGGCCAGGTGTTTGAACTGGCGCAACTGGAATATCTGGTCCAGCCAGAGATTCTGTTCTCTTGACCAGAAGGAGCTTTTCCTTCTGGGCCTTTACTGCTTCTCTGACACTTGGAACAAGAACCACAGATGTGTGGATGGATTTCTAATTGGGGGAGGAAAGGAAAGAGAAGGAAGCGAATGAGGGTCTATTGCAGGGCCCTGCATGGGTCCCATCTGCTCAGAACAGATCCTGGGGAGGTAGCGGAGATCCCGTGTACACAAGAAGTGACATTAAATGATGCCATTAAATGAGTAGAAGTTAGAAACAGAACACACTTCAAGTGACTAGAACATGAATGTGTGGGTTAGAGGGACCCCCAGACTGTGAAATGCTAAGTTCTCTAACTAGGGTGCCCCTAATTGCTCGGCAATCATCTCTGAAGTCTCAAAGACATTACTTGCAGGTAACTTTTCCTGGGACGTGTGAACAAATATCCCAGACAGAGCACTAAGAACAGACCAAAGTAAGCATTTCTCCGAAGGATAATTTGGTAAAGTTTATTTGGTTTACTTAGAAGAGTTTGGGTAGAGGGTTACAAAGAGCGCGTGTGCGATCCTGTAACAATTCTCCATGGAAAAGTCCAATCCCACCCCCCACCCCCGCACAGTCACAGTTGCCTAAAAGCAGCCCAGATGGAGGAGGAGTGGCTGGAATCTCAGGTGTGGGTCTAATGACCTTTCTCATTCCCCCATTCTCTGAGGGGACATTAGCCCACCTGGTATCATGAGGGCCGCCTGAAGATAATCACAGGTTCTCTGATTTCAAAAATGCGCTCGTCCAGCCAGGTCCAGAGGACAGCATTCCACACCACACATTGCTCAATTATAGTGGCTGCCCGTGGCTGGTTGTGTTTGAAAAGAAGGTACATCCCGTAGGTAATGCTTAACCCGAAAGAATGATCGGGGAAAGCTAACTCCGTTTAGTGTACATTTGGTACTTTCGTTCCGATCATTACAAACTATTTGCATCCGTCCCACGACCTACCCCACAAAGACAGCAGCATCAACAAGCTATCCACAGAAGGAAAGGTACTGACTCAGACGTAGTTGGGAAAGCGTGCCTATGAAAGGGAGAGGCACGTTTCAAATCACAACCTTTCACCTTCTTCAGACCTCTTTACCCTACACAGCACGCTAGTGGGAGCCTGTGGCAGGGAGGTGGAGAGGCCCGAGTTGTGCACAGCAGGGCTCTCGGGCTCCGTGCTTCCGGAACCTCTGTTCAGTCCTGTTGACGGCTTCTCAAGGGCAAATATAAGCCCAGATCATCTCATTTTCCCAGAGAGGCTGGACATTTATATGTCAAGTCTGCTATTTTAATGTTGATGCATTTGAAAATGAAAATAAACAAACCTCATGTGATTTGAGCAAACACGCGCAGGCCTGAATGGGAGACTGCTGCTTTGCCCCTGTGTTCTTGGCTCCCTCCAGGGTGGTTTCCAGGAAGAGCTCAGACCTGATGTCCCTGATGTCTGCGCCTCTGCACCAGGGTCTTCCTTGCTCTCAAGCGCAGCCTCTCAATCCTTCAGGTCTTTCGTCAGTTTCTCTCCATTGACTCGGTCTTACCTCTCGGAGGGGACAATTGAAAATGAAGTTACACAGGGGAACTTGGTTTCTTTCTTGTGGTCCTTGTCTGTCTGTCTGTCTGTTGTTTTGCATTCAGCACTGGGCTGAGCTATAGCCGGCACTGACGGCAGTGGGGACAGGGTGAGGAGCCAGCAGGGATGGAAGGCTTCGCACCCGGAACTTGCACAGGAAGATAAGGAAATAAAAGGACAGCGCCCGCTGTCATAAAATAGAGAGTAATAATCTACCAAGACAATGCCATGTGCATGCCAGGCCTGGGCTGCATTTTAGTCCCCAGACAGGCAACTTCCCTTGTTCCTCTGACACTGCAGACAGCTTTACTGTGCTGGGGGAGAGGAGGGGGGAGCCAAAAACAAAAACAAAAAAAAACCAAAATAAAAGACAACTGTGTTTGCTCTTAAAGAAACAAGTTAAGTCATAGGAACAAAACGCAAAGAAAAGAGAGGAACTTAATTTTTATTTTTTCCAAATAGATATTTTAACTTTTGACAGACAGGATTCCATTTATTGATAGTAAGTAATTTTGAAAACTATACACACTACAAGTGGACCCTTCTCTACATTCAGCCATGAAAGTGCTTCAAATGTGGTGCTTTAGCAATTCAGACACACTATTAAATTAAAACAAATAGACAACAACCTATATTTGTCAGGGTCAGGGGAAGGGGGACAGTGAACAGAGGACCAACCCCTTCCACAACATTGATCCGGAGGATCAAATTAAGGTCACTAGGCTTGACAGCAGGTGCCTTTACCCATTGAGCCACCTCCCCGATCCTAGACACTGGTTCTCAGCTCCTGCTGTGCACAGGGTGCCAGGCACTGTCGGGAGAGGACCGGCAAACAGTGGCTGGAATGTCTTCAGAGCAGCTCACAGTGATAGATTTTCAAGGGGGACACGAAGCTCCCCACACACCCGTGTCAAATCCTAAACAGCTCCGAGCAATACGAAAACGCCACACCAGACACCGTGCCCAGAAACATCGGTTCGCATTCATGTGAGCATAATTCGAAACACATTTGCTTCGCAGGAGCCCCTTGGTTTTTGTTTCTCTAAAGAAAAGTGCAAAATTGCACTTTCTCGGGAGCTCCTTCAAGATCTTAAACAGTCAGTGGTGCTAATATTTAATCTCGAGTCAATCTTGAGACAGGCTGGAGGTTTCAGTTACTACCCACAGAGATTTTCTGTTTCGACCCGACTGCTTTCCCCACCTCTATATTGCGTTTCCTCACTATATCTTCAGGAATTCCATGTCAGTTTGTGGAAAAGGCTGTCACAGCTCTCCCCACTTTCTCTCCACCTAGTACAAAAGCTGGGGAGTCACACCTATCTTCCTATTCTGAAGGCTGATGAGAATTATCAGTAATCACACACACAGACAATAAAATAAAATAAATAAAATAAAAATGGAGCAGTCCGGTGGTTCTGTCGCCCAGCAAGAAGAATGAATTCCAGATGCTGCCAAAATAAAACGGGCTTGCCTAGTGTGTCAATTCACTGTATTTTGCTGCCTCTCCAGCAGGGTCAAGAGCAGCCACTTCGGACCAGAGAACAGTGCAAACCCCGAGCATGTCAGTTAATAAAGAAGAGACTTATCCTAAAATTTATTTTTTGCTCAAGTCCTGGCTATTGGGCACATTACCAAAAGGTTGTCTTCAACTGTCCCGCGCTCATTCCCTACCGATAACCGCGGTGTGATCGCCACTCGCCTCCTCAGAGGCACCACCACCTCTGCTGTGCCGCAGTGTGCACTCGGGCCCTGGGACATCTGTGGAACTTAGATCCTGTTTTCCAGGCAGGGATAAAATTTGTGTGGTTTTTAATTTATTTTTTTTAAGTAGATCCCGACCTAGTATACAAAATTGAGAACAGGTGACCAGTGTTTCCCAAAGAATGGTAACAATTCCAGGCATTCTAAAGAAGAAATGGTGTCAGGAAAATCCCAAGCCAGGAGTGAGTAAGTGGCTGTCCTTGAAATCACCTGGGGAAGGGCGGCTGGGTGGCACTCAGGGATGGAGCGCATCTGAGCATTGACAAAGCTCTGGGTTTCGTCCCCAGGACTAAAATACAATAAGGTGAAATTTTAAAATTAATAAAATGAAATCGAGCTTTAAAACCATATGGTTCCCATCCCACGCAACCCTGTTTAAACCTTGATATCTATGCTTTAAACTTTTATTCACCTCCTCCCAACCAGTTCTAAGGCTATGTGAGGAGGGCAGCACTACCTGGCAGGAAAAGGCTTTCACCATCAAGTCTGACAACCTGAGGACGTTCCTGGGCCTCATATGGCAGAGTCTCCGACCTCCACCTGCGCATAGACATAAATAGCAGTAAGAACAAAATAATCTGAAGCTACTGTAGTAATACTAGGTAGTCAATAAAAAATGTCACAGGGTTCTGTGTGTAGGGAAAGAACAGAAAAATACAAAGAGCTTAGCTGGCCTGGCTGGCTTTTCTTGATTACTCATATTTTTTAAAAAGGGCCTAATTGGTGTCGACTTTATGTAGCCCACTGAAACGCGATGATGCCTCCGTCTTCCTTGAATCTCTCCTCAAGTAACTTTTTAGAAGTCTGTATTAGTTGGTAATAAATTTAAATATAAAATTATTTTGGTGACAGTGTCTAGTAATTTTTTTCTAAATTAACACACACACACACACATATCTGAACCAGAGATTGTAACCAATCTAACAGCTCCTCGAGTAGCCCCCGAGGAGCTCGGAAGAGACTGTGGAGTAAAATGGCGACTCTTCACCCGCACCCAAAGTGAGTTTAAACGGCTGTGTGGCAGGAAAGGGTTCTGATGGGAACCCAGTAGCAAGGGAGGGCAGATGTTCGAAAGCCTCTTCCATCCCATGACTCTGATGACTCGTGGAGAAAGAACTTGAACCTGCGGAATGACGCAATCGCATGCGCGTCTTCAGGGAAAAGACGCCGGTGTAGGGTCTAGCGCGTGTGATTCCAAGGTTGTTTACGCACAAGCCTCCGCTCCTTCCCGTTAATGGCTACTGAATCCAGACAGCTGTGTGAGCAGCCGCTCTTCCTCTGCATCCAGATTCCAGCCCGTTGTTTTTAACAGTGGCTTTCTTCCGCCATTGTTAAATCATTAAAGACGATTTATTTTTTTTTAAAATTCAAGATAACAGTCAACATGCATTTATTCATTTTATTAATCCATGCTTTCCATCTTATCCAGTGTATGCTGGACAAAGGTTCTACCACTAAGCTATGCACCCATCCCAACGTCTGTACTTTAATCACATTTTACCAATTAAATCACTTTAAACCACATTTTGCCAATTAAAAACCTATGTTGTTTGTATGTATTTTTTTTTCAGGTGTCGAGATTAAACCTAAGACCTGGAGCAAGCTAGGTAAAAACAGCCCCTGAGATACACCTCCTATCCTGATTTAAAATAACTCTTAAAAACCCCATTATTTGGTAAATTATCTCAATTAAAAATGTTGTCAGTTATTATTGTAAACATGCTTCTTTGGCAGTATCTTTATAAGCCAGCCAGCGTCAGTGGCCTGCATTTGCTACCCTGGGCTCCCATCCACGTGGCTCCGGACCAACAGAGATTCCTGAAGAAAGGGAAGCCTTTGCGAACATGCTGGCTGCATTGTGCAAGATGAAAAGACAAAGCTGCATCCAGAGAAACGTCTGAGGACACTTCCACATAACTGAGCATTTTGAACAGCCCTAGTGGGAATGTGAGCTTGGAACCGGAAGGCGATGTGGAGCTTTCTCTCTAAGATCCCAGCATTCCGGGGCAGGTGCAGGACAGTGATGAAGGAACCCTGTTGAGACCGCGTTTCTGAGTCCTCTCTGTAGAGGCAAAATGTCAATCTCTTTTGACTGGTCTCAGACGAGGCATTTTGGAGAAGGCATAAGAATATCATCTATTGCCAGTGAGCACAGGCCGCCCAGAGAAAGGTAGAGTAACACCTTTATAGGAGGTAGGCATCACCAGAATGGGCCAGGATCTCTTCGAGGGAGTGAACATCCTCTTTCTAAATGCCTGTAGCGTGAGCTGCGCTTCTTTTTCTGTGTGTTTTTCCCCTAGGATCTGCTTGTTCTGTGTCAGGTATCACATCGTGGGCTTCAGAACATCCAGCCTCCGCTCCCAGGGCTGTGGAGCCCTGGGCCAGAACCCAGCAAAGCGGAATGGTCGGCTAACCACAGAGAACCCACTCTACTGCCTGCTGGTTTTTCTTCAGAGCATTTTCAAAAGCATGATGGGAATTCTTTGTCACTGGGGTTTCATTTATCCAAGAGCATCTTGCCGTTTTTTTCAGATTACCGAGAATCTATTATAATGTGATGCTGACCCCGTGGATAAGGAGATCAGGACCGATTGCTCCTGCAGACCGTTTCCTGGTGTGGGTGATAAGCAAAAGTAGATAAAAATTGCAAACAATCAGGACCCCGCAGGAACAGGAAGAGGACTTCGAATTCAAAGTCTGATGTAAATTCAGCCCTTAAGAAAATCAGAGAAAATGTGAAGAGTCAAGAAAACTTAAAAACCTTGAAACTGTGTGTTGTTTAGTTACCTGGAGATATAACTGATCAGTAGAGCATTTGCCTAGCCATGTGAGGTCCTGGGTTCAGCCCTGGCCCTGTTTATAAAAAAACAGATATTTGAAATGGTGGATGTAGATACAAGCATATCTATGTATGTGCAGATGTAGGTTTTTCTTTCTTGTTAGGATTAAGTAACTTTTTTCTTCTCTAAAAAATAAGTTTTATTAATTTTTTACAAATTTCCTTAAAAGTATTCGGATCATATTCACCCCCCTCCTGCAACTCCTCCGAGACCTTCCCCTGTTTTCTTCCCCACCCAACTTCACCGTCACTCATCGTTTATTTTCCCCTTTGAAAACCAGTTGCGTCCAGTTCGTGCCGCCCAAGTACTCTTGGGTATGAGGCCATCCACTGGAGCATGGTCACCCTACCAGAAGCCAGACACTTACTGAACACTGATGTTCCTCCCCTCAGCAGCTGTCAATCACCAATGCTCCTCAAGTATCAGTGGGACATCGAGCCCACCTCTCCTTTGGACTGGCTTGACCAAGGTTTGTCATGCTTTTTGTTTTCAGGAACCGTAGGGGAAGGAAGTCATGGCTCCATGCTGCCTTAGAGACTATTTTAAGTTTATAGAAGACTACCCAGATAGGGTTCTCCGCAGGGGGACCAAGACAGTACATACTTAATATTTTCCATGGTCATATAAATGACCACATAGGTCTCAATATCATTGTTTCTCTGACTCAGTCAGTTCAACAGAACCCCCCAAGAGCTTCCCTGTCACCTAGCAGATGCCCAAATATTCCGACAGAACTCCAAATTTGTTCACAAAAGCTTCCAAATGGCTAAGGCGTGTCATGCAAATGGTGCAACAGCCCAAACAGTTCAGCAAACCAGAACAGTTTAGAAAAACCCTGAAAGACAAAGTCAATCACCAGATGGCAGGACTCCAAAACAGTTCCAAGGGCTGAAGGGGGCCTCTAGACCAGCATGGCGGAGAACTAGGGCCCGGAGATTGGGGCAAATGGACAAGGCAGACTGTCAGCCGGCTAAAACCAAGTCCAGCTTCTCAAGTCTTGGCTTCCCCAAACAGCGATGATAAGCGGCTGGTGGTGGCCGAAACTGAAGCTAGGCTTGGAATAAAGTGATTCCGTCAGCGACGCGGAACTGTTCAGGCTGTCGTCTCCAGCCAGGACCAACTAGAACAGTGTGACACCCAAAGTGTGCTTTTGTTCGTTAGTTTGTTTTTCTTGGCTGACTTGCCCAAAATTGCTACTGGAGTTGTTGACATCAGTGCCTAGACTCTGGTAGCTGCTCTAACAAGTTAGGCTAGGGCACCTAACCCTCCAATTAATTAGTTATATTTCTATATGGGTCAGTGAAAAAGGCCTCCCAGAAAATATACCTGGTATCAGTAGAAAGGCACATTAAACACTATAGCAAATGCCAAGCCTCGCGATATCACACCGCCATGAATGAGAAAGACAGCTAGGTTGCCTTGAAAGGGGGAACAGAGAGGAAAGCACCCTGGCCTAAGGGTGAGCAGCACTGAGCCCCTAGTCCCAGCTCTGTTAGGACCTCAACTAGCCTCATGGGATCCCGCGGCTCACGGGGGGAAAATGAGCACTCAATCTCCATCATGGCTGAGGACATACTTAATGAAAACACACCATTGTAAGGTATGCGGGTATGCAATGTGTGGCTCACTTGTTTCATAATGCTTCTTTTAATTATTTATTCTTAACATGTAGTATAGCGATTGGGTGTTAGCAGTGCAAATGCTTTATGATTTTAATTTAAGTGTATTTTAATGAGGAAGTTGGGCCGCATAGACAGAGAGGGATTAACAAGCCCACACAATGGTGCCATTTTACCCAAATTAGAACCAAATGAGGAGGAGGGAGATGGCTGCAGACTCTCTTATGAGTCAATTTTCAGACCTAAAAATGAAAAAAGGTAAACAATGGTCACAGTTTATATTTGCATTTGACATGTGTATTTTTTTCAGAGAACTCTGGGTGGTGGCAGCAAGGGGGCAATTAGACCAATAACAGGGCTGGCATTATTAAGTATATACTGTATGTCTGGAATATTGATATTAATAACCATTGACATACATTTCATTTATTCTACAGATTGACAGAGCAAAAAAAAATATCTCCTTGCCAATATTATATAAAAGACTTGAAATTTGAAGCCAAGCCTGTAACTATTTGGTTTGTTTTCGGGATTATTTTCTAAGTCAGGTACACTTGTAAGAGGCATGACCATATTTGCTATTAAAAGGTATGAAGAAATTCCTGGGATAGTGGCATATGCCTGTACTCCTAGCACTTGGGAGGTAGAGGTAGGAAAATTTGGCTTTCAGGGACGGGCTCTGCTACATGGGGAGTCTGAGGATAGACTGGGTTACAAGGAGACATTGTCTCAAAACACCCAAAGAGTATACAGAAAGCAGTAGATATGTGACTAAGAGCTAAAGCACTGGCAGAGTATGTTCAAGGCACTGGGTTTCGTTTCTACTATGAAATAGAAGTCCCATGCAGGTAAAAAGTAGCTGACATGGATTATCTTTAGGATGAGATTGACTAAGAGAGTGTTATTCACAGCTATGGGCTATCTATGATCAGATCTTGAGGTGAAAGAGCATTAGAAGAAATAGCACCAGACCACAGGCAGTGCAGTGGGCTGCAAACGGAGAAATCTTCTTCCCTGCTGATCCCAAAGAAGAGCTCTATTAGGAGAGACGTGATGAGAGCCCAAAGAAAAGATCCTCATATCTCAGAAGAAGGGTAGCAGAAAGTTATGCATCATTTGACAGCCTATGCCAGGAGACAGACACTAGGTAGGACTGTAATTCAAAGTTTCCTTGGTCCTTGTGGTAGTTTGAATATAATTGGTCCCCATAATCCCAAAGGAAGTGGCACTATTAGAAGATGTGCCCTTGTGAAGTAGGTGTGGCCTTGTTGGAGGAAGTGTGTCATTGTGGAGACGGGCTTTGAGGTCTCTTTTGCTCAAGCTTCCCACAGTGTGACACTCAGACTATTTCCTGTTGCTTGCAAGATGTAGGACTCTCAGCTAGTTCTCCAGCACCATGTCTGCCAGCATGCCACACGTCCCATCATGGTGATAATGGACTGAACCTCTGAAACAGTAAGTGAGCCACCCCAGTTAGATGTTTTACTTATAAGAGTTGCCTTTGTGATGCTGTCTCTTCACAGCAATAGAAACCCTGAGACAGTCCTGATCAGCAAGTGGGGTTGGGGAAGATGGGGCTTGCTTTTCCCATGTTGGAGTCACAGCAGCAGTGAGCTCCTGTTCAGTTCTTTTTTCTAAGGCAGACTGCAGGCTTGTATGACCTGATTTTTAGCAGGGGGCGGTGTCTGTGATCTAACACTATCCTGAAAAGGTAATAAATGAAGAACTTTTGAGACATGTTTACAAAGCTCACCAGTTTGCGAAATCCGCAATTCCCCCTTTCTCCAACTCCTCCCCAGACCCCTCTCTTCCCCACTCTTTTCCAATTTCCTTTCTCTTCCCCTTCCTTTCTCCTTTCCGTTCCCCCTTCCTCCTTTCTGTCCCTTTGTTTTTCTTCCCTTTTCCTTTATTTTCCCCCTTTGACCCTTGCCCTTCCTTTCCCTTCTTCTTCCCCTTCCATTCCCTTTCCTTTCCTGTTAATGCTAGAGATCAAATCCAGAGACCTTTATGGTAAGTCCATACAAACTAAGATCCTGTCTTAGTTTCTTTTTTGTTGTTGTATAAAGCACTCTGACAAGAAGCAACTTAAGGAAAGAAGGAAGGAAGCAAGGAAGCAAGGAAGGAAGGAAGGGAGGAAGGGAGGAAGGAAGGGAGGAAGGGAGGAAGGAAGGAAGGAAAGGCTTATTTGGCTTACAGTCTATCACTGAGAGGAAGTCAAGGCAGTAGGACCTTGAAGCCATAGTCCATTACCCTCAAGGTCAAGAGCAGAGAGTAATGAATTCATGATGCTAGTATTTAGCTTGTTTTCACCACTATTAAGCATCCGCTACCTAGAGGATGATGCCACCCACAGTAGGTGGGCATTCTTACCTTAACTAGTGTAATAACAATAATTCCCCCACAGACCTATCTACAGGCCTGTCTAATCTAGATAACCCATCATTGAAACTGTCTTCACATGGAATTCTAGACTGTGTCAAGTTGAGAAATTAACACCGACCACCACAGTCCTCACAATTAGGATATTTGATTGTTATGTAATTACAGCAAATGTGGCCTATATTTGCCTGGATCTATTTCTTATTCCTGTGTTCCTAAATTTTTAGATGAAAATGTATACCTTGAGTATTTACATTAGAACAAAATGGTTTTGCAGGGCCACCATGTTGACCTCTACAGTTGTAGCTGTTGAAGTGATTATGCTCTCTGAAGTAACTATTAAATTATCAAAGCAAGAGAGTGGCAAGATATTTTATGACAAGTTAGGGATTAATTTTTAACAACTTTATTAACCTGTTAAGTGTCATAAAACAAATTCATACCTAGTTGATAGTATCTCTTTATTACTAGTACTGTTACTTTGTTTATTGGCTTCCATTTTGTTTCTTTGTTTTCTCTCTTATTCAACCACGCTGGAAAACTGAGGCCAGTCATGGTCCTCACAGCCACTACTCAGTATGTGGTTCACAAGCACCCCGTCCCTACCTTTTCAGTCACCCCTCATATGGATCAGGTGCTTCACGTTCCTAGGCCATAACTGATTCAGAAAAGTGGAAGTGCTTGAGTCCAGTGGAGGCTTTCCCTCTCATCTCAGGTGAGTACAGCTTGGGCTACTGGGGTCCTAGACAAATCAGCAGCCTCCAGAGCAAATCCCAAGGCCCTTTGCCTCATGAATTTTAAGAACAAATTTCATGGACAGTAAGAGAATGAGCTTAGAAAGGGATTTTATAAGATTATAAACAGGAGCCCAAAAGA